ATATATATATATATGTATATATATATAATTTATCTTCATAAGGTTTTACAGTGCATTCATTTGCAAATGCTTTGTATTCTATATGCGTTGTAAAGTTCATGCAAACTATACTTTTTGTTTACTGCACTATCTCCACATTTTGTATGAACCACATGCTATCATTAATTCGGAACAATGTCAATTTCTCTAATTGATTTTCACTGCTGTTGCTGAAATCTTTGTATCTATCTCTGCAATAAGATAAATGCACCTGCCTGAAAAGGGGAGCGTTACTTTGATGGCATATATTATCATGTACATGTGACTCCCGCATACCTAGATGTTTGCCCACTGCAGAGACATTAATAACTTCTGATCTGCAGCAATAAGACATGGCTGGGATGAATTACGACATTAGAAAACAATCCTTTTGTGTTGTGTTATTTATTAATATTGATTCGCCAACCCAATTACTATGTATTGATGTTTGCATTGTCAAAGGGATTTACCTAAAACATAAAACATTTTATTTGATCCGCGAATCTCACATATGGGACTTAAAAACATCCCTAGCACTTATTGATGAATATAATATTGCAATTAGAAATCACCTTTCAACAATATGACTTTTGCAATTGATAAAAGCTGACATCTGATTGTTTTACGTGGGGGACTGGGCACCACTATTACTCTGACCGACATTTAAATGACATTATGTATTATGTATACATAATACACAATTAGATTAAATGTTGCTTTTTATATCTGCCTGGAGTTTCTCTCTAAAGTCTAAACACATCACCCACAGATAATGTAGTGGCAGTCATTTTCCTTTTCCAGTTATAAATAGTTCTCTGTAAAAAAAAATTTGTTAACATAAATGTGTGCTTTTTATGTTGTGAAAAGGCAATTTATTGCTATGCAACTATATAATTAAAAACCCAACATCGCCCTTTCCTCAAGCGTCTGCATTAATAATGGTTGAATAAAGCTGTGCTTTGTGCTAAAAGTCAGCATTTACTACCTAGTCTGCCCAGGTCCGGTGGATTCATAAGTTATGTTTAATCTTGTAGACTAGTTTATGGGCAAATATCAGGCTGGGACATGGTCATACGAGAATAAAAGTAATTCTTAAAGAATAACGCCAGGCAAATGAAGTCTTAACCCCCAGTGGGGCTACCCCAACACCGCAAGGTTTAAATGCTCCTTTTGCCTAGGGAGCTAAAATAACAGATATACTCATCCGAACCACAATTATGGCTGGCTCCCAGACCAGTCCTTTAAGCTTTGCTTCCCCTCCGCACCAGAGGTCTAGGGTCTTGTGAGTCATCACGTCGCATACAATGTTTAGGACGTAAGGATGCCGGGGGACATTCCAACGCTGGAGCGATGGAGAAATACACTGCTTCTATATGGTTTGAGGGCTTAAAGGTGCATAATACTAAAATGTACATAAAACTACTAAAAATCTAAAGCCAGAATAGTTAAAACCCTGGGTTTTTTGTTTTGTTTATTGCTATATGTATTTAATTGGGAAGATTTACATTTTCTTTCCTGTAGACACCAGAAATGAGAAGCAATCTCCTCAAAGTGAGAAACATCCCCTCTAATACAGTTATTACCAGAACAACACTCCTCAAGGAAAGATTTTCCCTCCATTTTACTGCCAGTTATGGTGGTCACCAGGATAATTAGAGAAAGGGAAACTGACAGCAATAATAACCTAGGAGAAGTGATGTACCTAAAGGGGTTGGCTATAAAAAAAAAAATCTGCACCATGTTTGCATGTTCTCCCTGTGCTTGTGTGGATTTCCTCTGGGCGCTCCGGTTTACTCCCATGCTCCAAAGATAGGTTAATTGCTTCCTATCTAAATTGGCCCTAGTATGTGTGCATATGAGATTAGATTGCATGCTCCTTGAGGGGAGGGATGGAAAGGAACTCCACTGAAACCGCCCTCCTAAAACTCACTAATGACTTACTAACAGGTAAAAACAATGGCCACTATTCCTTACTCTTTCTATTAGACATTTCTGCTGATTTTGACACTGTTGACCACCTGCTCCTCCTCAAAAAAACTCAATTCGCTTGGCCTACAAGACTCTGCTCTCTCGTGGTTCTCCTCCTACCTATCTAAGCGCTCCTATAGCGTCACCTACAACTCTAACTCCTCCCATCCTCTTCCTCTTTCTGTAGGGGTCCCCCAAGGCTCTTTCCTTGGACTCCTTCTCTTCTCTATCTACACCTCCTCCCTTGGTCAGTTAATAACCTCACATGGCTTCCAATAGCATCTCTATGCCGATGACACTCAAATATATCTTTCTACTCCACAACTCACCCCCTCAGCGTCCTTGCGTGTCACTAATCTACTAACTGACATATCGGTCTGGATGTCACAACACGTCTTAAAACTCAACCTTTCAAAAACTGAGCTCTTGATATTTCCTCCTGTCCGTGCACCTTCCCCCAACATTTCCCTTGAGATTGTTAACACAACTATCCAACCCTCCCCCATGCCAAGGTCCTAGGTGTCATCCTTGTCTCGGACCTCACCTTTCTTACCCATATCCAATCACTATCAAAATCCTGCCGCCTTCACCTTCGTAACATCTACAAAATACGCCCCTTCCTCACCAAAGAAACCACAAAATTACTCATCCACTCACTTGTTATATCTCATCTTGACTATTGCAACTCCCTCCTCATTGGCCTTCCACTACACAGGCTATCCCCCTTAAGTCTATCATGAATGCAGCTGCTAGACTCATTAGCCTAACCAACCGTTCAGTGTCTGCAACCCCCCTCTGTCAATCCCTACACGGGTTTCCAATAGCCCAAAGGATAACATTCAAAATATTAACAACCACTTACAAAGCCATCCACAACTGTGCCCCCGGCTATATCTCAAACCTTGTCTCAAAGTATCACCCTAAATCATCCCAAGACCTCCTGCTTTCCAGCTCCCTTGTCAACTCCTCCCATGCTCGCCTCCAGGACTTCTGTAGAGTCTCTCCCATCCTCGTGAACTCTTTACCCCAACCCGTCTGTCTGTCTCCCACCTTAACTGCCTTTAGGCGCTCCCTAAAGACTCATCTCTTCAGGGAAGCCTATCCCACCTCAACCTAACCGCTCAACCATCACGTTCTCAAACAATTCATCCCCACACAGCTACCTCCTCATGTATCACTTCCCCCTCCCTTTTAGATTGTAAGCCTTCAGAGGCAGGGCCCTCCTTACCATCTTGTCTTGAATTGTATTGTGATTGTAATGTCTTTCTTATATTGTAAAGGGCTGTGCAAATTGTTGGAGCTATATAAATCCTGTATAAGAATAATAATCTAAAGTGCTGTGTTAAGCCGGCCATACACTTGTAGATTTCCGAGCGAAAGATCTTTCTTTACCAACGAAAGCTCCTTCTTTACCACCTGATAATGCCATCAGAGATTTGACAAATGTTGAATGAAATGTTGTTTTATTTTGATATTTGATTTTGGAATGAATGGAGTTTCCTGAATGAAAACCACATTCACTGTTAAAATTTTGTTTGTTCAAGAATATTTTTCCATCCTGCTCCTTTGACTTTTTGCATCACTGCAAGCGAAATCGAGGATCGATTTGACCCCATCAACTTATAATAATTTGAACAAAAGATATTTCGTACGAAAGTTCTTTAAATAATATACTAGTGTATGGCCACCTGAAATTGAGCGTTCTGTGAAAAAAAATCTGGAACAAATAAATATGCATGAGGAGAGGCTCTGTCTGTGTCCAAAGGAATGTACAATGCCATGGACATTTTTATATAGTCAGCCTGATTTTTAATGTTCCACAAGGGCCAACATGTTCTGGGGTATCTTTCATTAGGGCTGTGAGTAAAACTGCAGGATAACACTGTGAAATGACAGCTAAAAAACAAACTGAAAATGTTATGCAGGATAGATGTGAGGTTTGAAACTGAACAGGGCAGCAATTAGAAGTGTCATTGTAGCCAGAGTGGCATTTGTGCAAAAGAAGATCCCAGTCCTAGCTAGGGTCATACAGAATTAGCAGATTCCAGCATAAGCCAAGCGAGAGGTAGAAAGAACAAACCGAGTTGTAATAGATTAGATCCAAGTGCATAACAGCTGCACAGCAGCTCTAGACAAGTTTATTGAGGCACTAAGTACTCTGGTTCCAAAGTAAAGCACCACTGATTAAAGCCAGGTTTTAGCTTCAACATGACCACATTGCAATGCCAAATATTGTTTGGCAAATGGTGGAGGTCAGAATCTAGACATCTAGAAAAGGGCTGAGCACCACAAGAAGAGCTACAACATTTGCAGGTTCTTAGGATTCTGCATTTCCTGCAATCAGTGTGAATGAACTCATTACCTTGCTTTGTGGAGTTTGCCCATAACAAAGTGCCTCAAAAGTACTCATGTACATATAAAACAACGAGCGTTAGGAGCGCTACTACCTGAACTTAAGCATGTATAATGTCAAAGTTTGGTAAAAAACGAATGGTGTGACTTACAGTTGGAAGACAGCTGATGTGTCAAAGGTGGTTAATCAATCCTAATGACGGGTCCCTGGTGAGAGTTCAAGGATGGATGGTTCCAAGAGTAGGTGGTGACAGATGTGGGAGCACTGTGAGAATACCTAGCAGCACGCGTGCACGGCTGGCCAGGCCGGGCCGCGACGGATAGGAAAGGGGAAGCCGCGAGCGGCTGTAAACTACTGTGTTCGATACATTCAGCAGATGTCATCAAGCTGGTGTCACGCAAGAATGACTAGTCCTGAATGGGGAAGGAAGTCTGGAGGGATGAACAACTGAATGAAAAAGAGGGCTCTCAGTGCGGTGACGAGGCACAGCCTCTTTCTCAAGCCTCAGAACGGTGATCGTACTGAATTGCAGGGTTCCTCTCCCTGATAGTAGGAGCTTGCACACCACACATTTCAGCCCGATTTTACTTAGTGACCATTAACCAGTTGTGCGCTTATTTCATCTTTTTTGATCAAAAGTACTCATGGATGTCTTAGTTACACATATTTTGGCTGGGTCGTTTGTTTTACCTCCCTCCATGGCCCATGCCTGATCACCCTAGCTTCAATTATTGGTGTAACCATGTGTCTGATATGTAGTATAAGGCAAGGCATTCCCAAAACATGTTTCTTTTGGCAGTAGGCTAACTATGGCAATAAATAGAGAGTGTCAGGAGGCAGAAGGTTGGCCTCCCAAGCTCTGGTTAGTATTTGCAGAAATTAGTTACCTGTATTGTAGGCACACTTTGAGGTATACATTAAGGTATACGCCGTGTATACCAGGTAAAGGTTCTGCTGTAAAAAAATGCTCCGACACCAAAATCAGGACAGCACAGAAATGATATTTGCATTTGCTTTGGAGGCAGAGTAACATTAAACCTATTACTTATAATACTTATTACAAATATACATGTTAAATATATTCTATTCATCATTAGTGTAACAATTGTTTTATTGCTGAAATATTACAAAGTAAAGTACTTTAATTCTGAAGTTTTTGGGAAGTGAATTATCCTTTTGATGTTTATTTATAAAGTACTGACTGCCATTTCTCAGGTTATTTCTAAACACAGAACAAGCCTTTAGTAAAGCTGAGATCCAGGATAGGAGTCTTTACCTTAGATGCAAAGCATTTTCTGAAAGAAACTCATTTCACCCATCATGAAACTGAATTTTTTATGGAAATTATATACGGAGTTATATAATAGGTCTATAGACATAATATTTTTCCTTCTCTCTCTTTTTTCCATTTTAGGAGGTGTAATTATTCCCAATAATTTTCAGCAAAATAAAGGTATTACACAAGTATAGATAATTGTAATAGGCTTTCTGAGAAAAGAAAATAAGGTTTAAAATTACATCCTCACATTTCAAAAAGAATTGCTTTATTTTGGCACATGGATTTATAGGGAGAGAATACTTCCCCCATGAGGTAGAATTATACTTTGCATTTAGGGTAAAACTTAAAATCTTCTAGAAATGAGCAGTCTGCAAGACTCCATTCTGTCAAAAGTGATGTTTACTGATAAATGAAAGACATTATAGTCTGCTTATGTAAAACATTAGAGAATAACTAAACTCAAGACAAACATAGGGGTCTATTCATAAAGCTGCCGAAGGTTCCAGCCGTAGCTTTGACTGATCCTTCGGCTAGCTTCGGTTGCCGGAGCCCTACAGTTCAGACGAACCGAAGGGCTGCTGTACGGGCTATTCACAAAGCTGCCGAAGGTTCCATCCGTAGCTTTGACTGATCATTCGGCTAGCTTCGGTTTACTGTAGCCCTTCAGTTCAGACGAACCAAAGGGCTGCTGTACGGGCTATTCCGTACACCACCCGAACGCGGCCGAGCGGCTCAGCCGCGCCGAAGGCATTTGCTTCGGCTTGAGCGAGCCGAAGTGTCAGCCGAAGCGAGGCGAACGCCTTTCGCCCCGCAAATGACAGCTGGGCGGAGCCAGCCATGATCTCGTGGCTGGCTCCGCCCAGTTGTAATGACAGATCAATGCTTTGTGAATAAGTCCCATAATATAATGCATCCGCATTATGTAAAACATTAGAGAATAACTAAACTCAAGACAAACATAGGGGTCTATTCATAAAGCTGCCGAAGGTTCCAGCCGTAGCTTTGACTGATCCTTTGGCTAGCTTCGGTTGCCGGAGCCCTACAGTTCAGACGAACCGAAGGGCTGCTGTACGGGCTATTCACAAAGCTGTAGATATATGCAAAAACAAAAAACTTTTCAAAAGTGCACCCGCACAGACTCCATGGGACAGGAAGTGCCAGTTAAGGGAGAGGAGTCAGCGCTGGATCGGAGACTGATTTTTTCCCCCATTTATTTCATTTCAAGGTGGTGCTGGAGGGGCCTGGGTGTAAATGTTTACTATAATTACACTGTCTGTACTGTGCTGGAAGATCTCTTCAGTTGTAAACTAAATTTGAACACTAACCAGAAAATCTCTGTCAATACCCTTATCAGCTGCAAGTACTAGAGAAATGTATATTTCCAATAGTCCTAATATGAGTATAAATGTGCTGCGCTAAGCACGGCACATATACAGTATACTCTTATTTAGATTTGAACAGTGTCTGTGCTAACAGAGGGTTAAAGGTCGGGAAGCTTGACTTCTTGCATTGTATGTTAATGAGGGGAAGCTCACTCTGTCCCTACTGAGGATGTTGAGGGACACACCATGGCTGCAGCAAAGGAAGAGAGAGGTTGAAGGGAGTGCTGCCAGCTCCGAGGATCAGGTGTGTATAAACGAGCAGTTAACCTTTTGCAATGCATGGGTAGCGCCGCTGCAAGGGTTAATGACATTTCTGCCCAGACTTCCTCTTTAAAAACCATATTAGATTCAAACTTTGCTGAAGTTAACTATAAGCATGTAATGCAGACTCAATAAGAGCATGATATTTGTAGAAAATGGCAAACTATTTCAGACTGATAAACTAAAAAAAATATTTATCAATCCCGAATGAATTTAAATTAATCATTCCTTTCTTTTTTGCTTCATAGGAATATCTGAACCTTCTTTTATAGCAAAGAGTGAAGATCGATTATTCAAATATTTATTTCAACAACAAGATTACCAGAAGTGGGTTCGTCCAGTCGAGCAATTGAATGATACTGTGAGAGTGAAGTTTGGTCTTGCTATTACTCAGCTGGTGGATGTAGTATGTATGACACATTTTATTATTATAAATACAGACAAGAGTTTTCTTTTTATTAATGTTCCGAATTACATTTAAAAAGCTCCCTTGTAAAGCATATGGAAAAAAAATGTATGGAATATAACAAATATTAATAAAGACAGATAATTATCAGCAATGCTTTTTTTCCTCCATCCACGTGTATTTATAAAAACAAATCTGCAGAGCCCTTCATCCTGCAATACTACATGTACAATTATTCTGTGCAAATGGGGGCAAAAAACAAATGTTTTTAGTATATTCTTTATCCGAATATATGTGATGAGAGTGAATCAGGAAAATGCCACATTATGTCCACTAGATTGCTCCAAGGAAATATATACCGTAGTTATTAACTAAGATCCTCATCTCCATCTAGTGGCCATAATGCGGTATTTTCCTGACATCACATTCAACTTAGAAAGAAAAAATACTTATGGCATTCGTCTTTGCCCCTTCCGCACACAACAATTGCACATGCAGTTTTGCAGGGCAAATGGCTTTGCAAATGTTTTTTTAAATACACCCCTAGTGTTACTACTCTCTAAGATAACGAGCTATATGCTCAGAAGTAAGAGTTTTGTATGTATTTAATTAATTTATTTATGTATTAAAATGAGGAAAAACATGCAGTTATTCCTCTATTATGCTTTTATGAAAAATTGAAATTATGTTTATAATTGCAATACAAACTACTTGTAAATGTATTGCTGTTAATAATGATCTTTCCATTTGCATTGTTTATAATTGCTATCAAATTTACATATTTCTTATATGCACCATGGCAACTGAATATAGTCTTTATTTAGACATTTCCTAGAATTGTCTGCTCCTATTAGTCTCCTAGAACTATGAACAGAGCCTAAGAGCAAATTAAATGTAGGCTGGTGTATGAAATGTGATGTTCCCACCACTATTACATTTCATTTGCGCTATTACTGTAGTAATCAAATACAAACAACATTTCCAAAATGTAACCTTGCTGTGTCAGCCTTAGAAGGCGCTACCTTCTGTATCTCTGAATATGCGTTCTTATATCAGTAGGGTTGGCAGTTCTGCAATATTTTATACAGCTCTGGGACTGAACATGAGTTAATACAGAGCCTCATTTTAAAGTATTACAGTAACTGCACTATCGTGACCCCTCCTCAGGATCTAAAGATATAAAAGCAAAAAGACATTTTAAAGCTGAACTCCATGCAGATATAAAAGACCCAAACTAATGCAGCTATGTATTCATTAAAATATCAATTGTATTTTTTAAATGCAAGCAGTGTAAGTACCTACGTTTGGCCGGATTATCAGTCTCTTGAAGTCCCTGAAGAGGAGAACTCATACTGGGCGATGAAAAAACAGCACAAGGAGCCAATCAGCTGTACTGCAGTGCAAGCTGGTAGGAGGAAAGGGCAGAGGGACAGAGAGATGAACTCATTAATGTGCTGCTTTTTCTTTCACTGTTCATTCACCAAGTGGGGGTGGGGAGCAGACATTTAAGTGAAAATGAAACTGCAGCAGAGAAACATTAGGTCCCCTCCTTTGCTAGACAGGGAGGTGCTGTGTGGAAGAGCTGTGTAAATCTTTGTGCTAAATGGACAGATATTTGAATCATTTGCCGGTAAAACAGCTCCCATATACACATTATACATATTTTTTTATTTTAGTACTGTATATTGAATCTGTGTATTTAGCTGTTTGCTGTTTGCTTGGAGTCCAATTTTAAACAAGATTTGCAAAGAAACCTTGAAATACATATAGTTGGCCTTGGAGATTTTTTTTTTTTTATCGTAATAGACCTGGAGAATTTTGTTTTATAGTATATCTAGACCCAATACGAGTATTTGAAGATATTGTAGCTTACCAGTGCATAGATGTTGTGCCTACATTACTTTTCTTTTCTCAGTTTTTTTTTCTCTTTATTTTCACCTGGTGATCCTGCCAGATCCTTCGTAGGATAGGACTACAGGCCCATTACGTTTTCCTCTTCTCCCTAACATAGTGCAGAAGCGTTTTGTAGCCCACAAAGAGAACTGAGAACCATGCTAAGTGATAACAGTCAGCAGAGGCAGAAAGTCATCAAGCCACAAGATTTCTGGAAGGATCAACAGATTTTTTTTACAAATAGATATAATGTGAACATGAATAGAAGAAACAGACAAAATAAAGCAAATAGAAGAAGTTAATTGTAAGAGTATACATATCCGCCTAAGCGTACTGTGTTTAGGGGCCCCCAAGGCAAACCTCCCAACATTCTGAGATAATACCTTCCATCGCAATGTATTTAGGCAATAGATATGCCCCTGCCAGGCCCCTCGTTAAGCGGACCATCTGGATTTTTTATGCCAAAAATTGGCATATAAATTGGTTAAACCCAGAGTTGTTTTTTTTTTTTTACCAGTACTTTTCCTTTTTTCCGGCTTTTAAAAATAGCAAACATGATAATTAGGAGATAAGATAAAGATTTTAGTACAGACTAACACTTTTGGTAGTTAAATAAAACATTTTCATAGATATCTATATATCATACCAAGAAGAGGGACAACAGAAAAGGACAGAGGAACAGTGGGATTTGGTTACACATGATCGCACTTCTGACTGATAAATTCCCTTATGGTGGGTCCTATAGTGACAAGTGGGTGGATATCAGCAACAAATAGGAGAGTCACAGGCACACCAACTATCTCCATATTTTATTAACACAAATAAACCTCATCACAAAGTAAATAAAGTGTTTACTTTGTGATATGTTTTATTTGCATGCTTAAAAGACGGAGATACGGTATATCACAGTTGTTGTGCCGGTGACTTTCCTATTTGTTGTTTCATATGAGGGACAGTCCCTCCATACTGTAAGTGTCTACTTTGCAGATGTTGGTTGTTAGCCAAGTAAAGACTGCCCTCCATATAAGGTTTGCAGGCAGCTTTATATCTAATACAGGTATTTATATAGTGCTGAAAATGTACATAGAGCTTTACATATCGTACATTCACATCAGTCCCTGCCCTCAACGAACTTACTTTCTAAGGCAGGGGTGCACAACTCCAGCCCTCCAGATGTTGTGGAACAACAAGTTCCATAAGGCATTGCAAGACTGACAGTTATAGGCATGACTCCCAGAGGCAGAAGCATAATTTTTTTTGTAGTTAAAGCACAGCTGGAGGGCCAGAGTTGCCCACCCTTGATCTAAGTTGACAAACTCACATGCATACATAAATGCACGAGGGTCAGTTTTGACAGGAGCCAATTAACCTACCAGCATGTCTTTGAAATGTGGGAGTAAATCAGAGGACACAGAGGAAACCCACACAAGTACAAGGAGAACAAACTCCATGCAGATAGTGTCTTGGCTGTGATTTCACCTGAGGACCTGGGTGCTGCTTATTAATACAAAATATTTCTGATCTGTTGCAGGATGAAAAAAATCAGCTAATGACCACTAATGTATGGCTAAAACAGGTATGTACGTGTCCCTTATGTTTTAAGTGACAGGATAGTGACTGTTTTCTTTACATAGTAGCTAATTTTAATAATCTAAATTGCTTTGTAGCAAAATACTTGTTCCTGACAACCATTTTTGGTGGCCACATTTTCATGATATATAAATGTCAATGACTGAGATAATTGTTTTTTATTGAAGTGACAGCTAATGTAATGTACAGTAGATACTTAATTGCATACAATCACTAGGAACACGAAAGAAAAGCTTTTCAATCTTCATTTTCTAATGCGGTTATTACTTATCACTGACATTAAAAGGTTTTTTTTACAGTTGTGTTACATTTTTACTTCCTTTATCATTCCTTTTAGGAATGGGTAGATGTTAAGTTAAGGTGGTGTCCTAGTGAGTTTGCTGGGATAACATCAATTCGGGTGCCATCTGATTCTATCTGGATTCCTGATATTGTTCTCTATGATAAGTAAGTGCCTTCATGTTTTCTATAAACAAACTATGGAAAAGTGTGAACGTTCCTTTAGTGCCTGCCAGTCTGCTGAGAGCTAACTAAACCTGGCCATAAACCAGTAGAATTCAATTCCCCCCCCCCAAAAAAATGTGAAACTATTTATTTTGATTTTTTTAAAGTTAATGTGGTCAAATCAAGAATTGTTTTGGACTGCAGTAATGAAAAATCAAAAGAACGGGATGGAACATTTTTTTTTGAATAAAAAAAATTCTAACAGTGAATATGTTTTTTTTTCCAGGAAATTCCATTCATCTCCAAAATCAAATGCTAAAACCAAACAAAATTTTAAACGACATTCGCCAAAGTCTCTGTTGGCATTATAGAATGTAGAGGTTTCTCATATGAACATTTGTTCATAAATATGCCAGTGTATGGCCAGCTTTAGTCTGCATTATACTTGCAAGTTTAGCACTGAAGCACCTTATCTGCCACTGTTAGACATTGCCCTTGCAATCTGTAAATCACCTCTGGGGAAATTCACTTTTTGGCCTGACAACAGTATAATGGAATCTCATTTGTTGGTGTGGGCTATTGCACTTTGCTAAATAAATAGCTTGTTAAAGCAGCATGGAAAATATGATGTATTGATCCTGGGCTGGCAAGTAGATGTATACAGATGAAATACTGGGGTGAGCATAGTTAGTGACCCAAGCACTTCATCATGGTACATTTGAAAATTCCTTTGTACCTGAAAAGATCCTTTATTACCATGTAAAGCTTCAAAATCGTTCGAGAGAACACGGTAGAGTTTTCACAAGAATCTAAGTACTCAGTCTAAAATTTTTGAAACTATGCCAGTTTGCTTACAAGCTATTTATATTTGTCTCCCTATTTAGCTGACATTTTGAGCTGGGAACCAAAACTGAGTGGTCTAGCAGTTGCTTCCCTGTTAACTCCCTGGTCCCATGCTGATAATACACTCTGGCTCCCAACCCTTGAGTGCGCATAAAAACATCAACTAAAAGAGCCTAAAAGTTAAGAGCAATATAAACAACTACAGATCTCTCTTACTTAATATTGTTTTGCTGGTGCAAGAGCTAGGAGAGATAATGTGCTTTCCGGCGGTGGTCCCGCAGTTGACATGGCAGCAGCCTAGCACACTTCAACAATAGTGTAACAGGGTTATTCACAAAAGGGTGAGGAGTTTGGAGAAGGCAGGAGAAATGAACAATCTAGGACAACATAGCTGATTTGGAAAAATGTTCCAATTCAGCTCACTTTTCAGTTCAGCTATGTTGTCCTTGATTGCTCACTTCTCCTGCCTTCTCCAGACTCTTCACCCTTTTGTGAATTTAAATCTTTCATAAGCAATGCTGCACTTTTATCTGTATTGGTCCTACATACTTCCGTTTGTAAGGACCTGTTTCAGCCATTGATGTAGTGTTGTTTCAAATATTAATATACCATATTTTTGCTAAAATGTGAGGCTATGGTAATTCAAGTTGGCTAAACTAGACCACGAAACTACAACTAAAATTATACAAAGGACAGATACATAGTTATTTTATAGTGCAGTGGTACCTCGGTTCATGAATTTAATTTGTTCTACGATTCTGGTCGCGAACCGAATTGGTCGCAAACCGAATCAAATTTTCCCATAAGGTTCAATGTAAATAAGGCTATTCTGTTCTGACCCCTACGAACGTGGTTGCAAACCGATTTTGGTCGCGAACAGAATCAAATTTTCCCATAGGGTTCAATGTAAATGAGGTTAATCCGTTCTGAACCATATGTAAATTCATTACCGCTCTTCACTTTCTTTGTACCACCAAGCTTGCTCTGCCCTTTCTTTGGAGCCATGCTGGATTGAATAATACTGTACAGTACTGTATGTGCTAAAAAGCATTAAAAAAAGCTTTGCAGCAAGTGTTCACAGGTCTGTCTGCGACCGCAATCTCATGTAGAGGAAGCCACGGCCATGTGTCAGAGCGGGGAAGATGGCCGTGGTCGTGTTCGTCACCCGATTTGGAGAAGCAAAGTTTTGGTTAACTTCTTGTTCGTGAAGCGAATTGTTCATGAACAGAAGCGTTCGTGAACCAAGGTATTACTGTATTATGCTTTGATCCATGTTAGAAACCAGCCTTATATCTAATTTGATAGTGTAACTTAAACACTACTTACTCTATGTAGGCATTAACATACTGAACAAATAATGCAGGTCTGAGGCATGTTCATTCACAAGAATAATACTTATAACAATATTTTTTATTTTAGTGCTGATGGACGTTTTGAAGGTTCTGTTACAAAAGCTGTTGTGAAATATGATGGCACCATAAACTGGACACCACCAGCAAATTATAAAAGTTCTTGTACTATTGATGTGACCTTCTTTCCTTTTGACCTCCAAAACTGCTCTATGAAGTTTGGATCCTGGACTTACGATGGGTCACAAGTTGACATCACACTTGAAGACTATGAGGTAGACAAAAGAGACTTCTTTGATAATGGAGAATGGGAAATAGTAACTGCAACTGGAAACAAGGGGAACCGAACAGATGGATGCTGTTGGTACCCACATATCACCTATTCCTTCATTATAAGACGCTTGCCCCTATTTTATACACTCTTTCTTATTATTCCTTGTATAGGACTTTCCTTCTTAACCATTCTTGTTTTTTACCTCCCTTCTAATGGGGGTGAAAAGGTTTCACTTTGCACCTCTGTGCTTGTGTCTCTAACTGTGTTTCTTCTGGTGATTGAAGAAATTATTCCATCTTCATCGAAAGTCATTCCTCTTATTGGAGAATATTTGGTGTTCACCATGATATTTGTAACACTGTCAATTGTTATAACAGTGTTTGCCATCAATATTCACAGCCGATCATCCTCAACACACAATGCAATGGCACCATGGGTGAGGAAGATCTTTCTTCATAAGCTTCCTAAACTGCTTTGTATGAGGAGTCATGTAGACAGGTACTTTACGCGGAAAGAAGAGACAGGAATAGTCAATGGACCGGGGACCTCAAGGAACACATTAGAGGCAGCTTTGGATTCCATTCGTTATATAACACGACATGTGGTCAAAGAACATGAAGTTCGTGAGGTATATATATTGCAGTCCATTGTTTTTTTAAAAATGAGTTTTAGCAGTAGAAGCCAAAGCATGATGACTAATATGCAACCTTTACATTTAGCTTTTACAAAGAATTTCTAAAACACTGTGGGATATATTATTGCTCTATAAATTACAAGAATAAATAAATATTGTATTTTTCTTTTGAAAATGATAGTTATTTAACTGAACATTTGATTCTCCTGGTCTACATGCTGGGAGTGGGAGAGTCAAAGCTGTACTTTGTAGAGTGCTTTTAGATCTAATATACACACATGCTTACAGAAGGAGAGCTAATCAGTGTACCGCTGTTCCTTCATTGTCCAATCAGACAAACCGATGACATGATTAGCTGGTAATGCTTGTCAATTCAACATCATAGGGTAACAGTGCATAGATGTCTACAATCAGCATGCAATTATTGAATAAAATGCACATGGCCTAGGAGATTGATAAAAGGGACTGTTAATTGTTTACATGTTGCTTCTCTATGGGCAACTGATAATACATCCAGTCTTTTTGCTCGGTACACTTCTCAGATAGGTAAATTTGTATGAAGCTTAATTGCCAGCCAACGAACAGTCTTTTCTGTGCATTGGTCCCTTTAGAATCAGATGGCTAATAAGAAATGATTGGGCAACATATTTCTTTTTCCTTTTTAAGGTGCATACCATCTAAGCTCAGCCCAAAAAATAAGCATATACAGTATAACCCCTTAAAACAAGATTGCACTGGCGGGTCAGGTGAGCTGCTAGATTAATTGATGGTTATTAGATCCCCGTTGTAACTGCAACTAAGCATAGAGTAGATAGGATTTAAGTGTATCTCAAGCTCCCATACACCAATGTTATACTTATTTTGATTGTAGCCCCTCCTTCCTTAAGCTACGTTAGAGGAATTATAGAGACTCTTGTAATTTAAGTTTCTCTATGCTATTTTATTCACAGGCAAATAAACCGGGAGAAAATATGTAATCAACAGAGATTGGTGTTATTCCAGAAGGGGGAGTGGACTCCAAAGCAGGGGCAGGGGTTTGATCCGAGCACCAAGCCTCTGCCCCTGCTTAGAGTCTATTGGTTGAATCTGTCAAAAAGTGGATGCAACACTTTGTTTACAGCACATTTTACAGCACATTTTAATGTTGTTCTTTCTATAAGAGTAGAGTGTGCAGTGTATTTGACCATGTATGACCATTACATAAAGTATTGAGAATGTTCATTTAACAAAAATAAGTGTTTACTTAACTTAGTAAATATAGCACAATTGTGTTCACTTTGCATGGCCAGGCATGGGGAAAATATTGGAATTTTGCTGCACACATGATAGGATGATTAAAACTACATAGATAACAAGGCAGAAAAAGGGAGATGTCCACCAAGTTTATCTACTCAAAATCCCTGCACGATTGGTCAATAGAAAGGCAAAAATAACTGTTTCATAGGTTGAAAAAAAAAGTCCTTTCAGTCCCTCTAAAGGTTCCCATACACCTTACAATTATCTGCAGATTTTCTGTGGTCAGATGGAAAAAATGCAACAGGTTGGCCCAGGTGGAGATTACTCCATCCACACAGTTAAGTTTTGATGGAGGAATCTGTTGCACATTTTCCATCTGACCACAGAAAATCTGCAGATAATTGTAAGGTGTATGACCAGCTTAAGGGCAATCTCTTCTCTGGATCTAAATAGAGCCTTTGTAAAGTGGGTAATATTAGCTATCAACTTGTAAGCTAAACCACCTATGAACCTTTTGCTTAATTGATGGAAAATGCTTCTTTCTTCTAGATTAAATATTAAAAATGTGCTTTTTTTGTGTCAGTGGTATGTACTATACAGTTCCAACTTTTTATAGAGTTCTTCACTTTTTTGATCACCAAAACCCAAAAACCTCCTAATGCAGATGCACGGTCAACTAAAGCAAAGTTGAATAGCTAATCTCCGGTGCCTGTGCTCCACATTCACATTTTTTACAGTTGCTGGGGGCTTGTCTTTTTATCTACTGCTCACAGAAATTAGGAAGGGAAAGTAGCCAAGACACATATAGAATATGAAGGCATGTTTCCACTTGTTAAACTATTAAAACTATTAATGCTTATTTATTTGTATTTTATAAAAAGAATAATGCATACATACAACATAGAAAATAACCATATATTATTTTCCAGGTTGTCGAAGATTGGAAATTTGTGGCTCAAGTATTGGACCGCGTGTTTTTATGGACATTTCTTCTGGTTTCAGTCATTGGTTCCATATTTCTATTTATCCCAGTCATACACAAGTGGGCGAACATCATTGTGCCCATACATATTGGGAATATTTATGGAGAAAAAGCTACATGAACTGTTTTCCTGTATATTTACAATTCCGAGCTACAAAATTTAATGCATAGCTCATATATTTGCTGCTGTACTATTTTGAAGATGAATGCTTTCAAATAAATTATTTTTATTTAAATAGCTTGAATATTTACAATTTAAATAAATTATAATTAATTCTATCCATGCAGCTGCTTATTTTTTTAATGTATGATTAAAATCCATACTATAAGATAAAGAACTCCATAACATAATTGGTGTAGAATGCACAGCCATTCAGACTGATGATTTCATTCCTTGAGAATGTTTAAGAATCGCTTTCCACCAGGCAATGCAAGGATAGTTAAAGAGTATGCCAAGACTAAAGTTATCTTTTTCTAAACTAATTACACCCACCCTCTCTCCTATTTTGTACAACATAGACTAATTGATCTGTAGTACAACATAGAACTGGTAGGGCTAATTAGATTCCTTGAGATAGCAAAGGGAGTGTGTAAAGGACACTGGACAGGTATGACTTACAGAGCACTTCCCGCCTCTCCTCATCTCCCTAACATAAGGCACAGATGTTCAGAAGTCAGCAGAGAACTCAGGCAGGGTTGGTTACACTACTTGGGATTTTTAGTGCAGCAGATGCAGTCAGCTCAAAGATGAAGTTAGGAGATTATTGGATTTCTGGCAGGATCAAGATTTTCTTTCTGTATTTATTGGATTTGTAAAGAGATAAATAATAATGTGCATTAACTGAAATTAAGTATTTATTATTATATAGGATCTATATAGCACCAACAGTTTGCACAGCGCTTTACAATATAAGGAAGACATTACAATCACAATACAAATCAAGACAAGATGGTAAGGAGGGCCCTGCCCCTGAGGGCTTACAATCTAACAGGGAGGGAGAAGTGATACATGAGGAGGTAGCTGTGTGGGGATGAATTGTTTGAGAACATGATGGTACAGTGGTTAGGTTGAGGTGGGATAGGCTTCCCCGAAGAGATGAGTCTTAAGGGATCGCCTGAAGGCAGTCAAGGTGGGAGATAGACGGACAGGTTGGGATAAAGAGTTCCAGAGGATGGGAGAGACTCTAGAGAAGTCCTGGAGGCGAGTATGGGAGGAGTTGACAAGGGAGCTGGAAAGCAGGAGGTCTTGGGATGAGCGGAGTGGACAGTTAGGGTGATATTTTGAGACAAGGTTTGAGATATAGCCGGGGGCAGAGTTGTGGATGGCTTTGTAAGTGACTGTTAATATTTTGAATTTTATCCTTTGGGCGAGTGGAAGCCAGTGTAGGGATTGACAGAGGGGGGTTGCAGACACTGAGCGGTTGGTTAGGTGGATGAGTCAAGCAGCTGCATTCATGATAGACTGAAGGGGGGATAGCCTGTATAGTGGAAGGCCAATGAGGAGGGAGTTGCAATAGTCAAGACAAGTTATAACAAGGGAGTGGATGAGTAATTTTGCAGTTTCTTTGATGAGGAAGGGGCGTATTTTGGAGATGTTGCGAAGGTGAGGGTGGCAGGATTTGGATAGTAAACATGTGCACTGCCAAAAAATTCGGAATTCGGATTCGGACGAAATTCGGTAGCGGTAGTTCGTTCGAACGTTCGTTTCGGTTTCGTTTCTTATTTGGTTCGTTCATGCGTTCGTTCGTTTGCAGCAAAGTGACATTTGAGGGGGAAATTTTTTTTTCTCCTCTAATGTCACTTTGCTCCAACGAACGAAACGAAAAAGAACGTTCGAACAAACTACCGCTACCGAATTTCGGAAACGCAAATACATCCGAATGTCCGAATTTCCGAAAATTCGTCCGAATTTCGATTCGGAACGAAACGAATCGCACATGTCTATTGGATAGTGATTAGATGTGGGGAAGAAAGGTGAGGTCCGAGTTAAGGATGACACCTAGGACCTTGGCATGAGGGGAGGGATGGATAGTTGTGTTATCAATCTCAACTGAAATGTTGGGGGAAGGTGCACGGGCAGGAGGAAATATCAAGAGCTCAGTTTTTGAAAGATTGAGTTTTAAGAAGTGTTGTGACAACCAGACTGATATGTCAGTTAGTAGATTAGTGACACGCAAGGACACTGAGTGGGTGAGTTGTGGAGTGGAAAGATAGATTTAAGTCCTTGAGTTTTAGGAGGGCGGTTTCATTGGAGTGTATGGGGCGAAAGCCGGACTGAAAGGGGTCTAACCGGTTGTATTAGCGAGGTGGCGACTCAGGCTCTTGTAGATAAGGTGTTCTAGTAGTTTAGACATGAATGGGAGTAAGGAGATAGGTCTGAATTATTGAGGATGCAATAATCCAGTGAGGTCCAGTGAGGGTTTTTTGGGTATTGGGGTGACTAGTGCATGTTTCAGAGGGGAAGGAAAGATGCCTGTAGAGAGTGAAAGATTGAAAATGTGAGTAAGAGAGTGTAGGATAGAGCAAGAGGGTGTCCGAAGTAGTTTTGAGGGAACAGGGTCTAGAGGGCAAGTGGTGAGGTGGGTGTCAGAGAGAAGCTTTGTAACCTCCTCTGCGGTGACAGGGTCAAAAGAGGAAAGTAACAATGTAATATATTTAATATTATTTAGTTTTATTTTGCCCCATCATACACTTTAACTCCTCTAACCAAACAAAACAGTTCTCTTGAACATTTTTATTACTGGTAGCTTTATGATTACATGAGCGTTGCACTGAGGAAAATACCTTATGTAATGATCTGCTCGATTGTTTGGTTATTAATTAATTGGTTATGTGTTTTGAACATCATCTAGTATGTGTTGCTACGCTAAATTTAATTTATTGGTGCATTTGCAAAGGTTACATCCTTTAGAACAAAATACATTGTGATCAGTGGTAGCATATTCTACAGGATTTCTGGCTAACAAAATTAGCAGAACTTCAGAATGGTATTTTCTTCTTTTCTCTGAGGTTAAATATATCACAGTTCTTCAAAAACAACAAAAAAAATAACAGCACTTCAACAGCCTATTTTATAGCACACGGAATTGAAATTGGGCTAATTTATCTAACTGTCTTTCCAAAGAACTTTGTTGCCTCACAGCAATCAGTCATATGAAAAATGTTCAGTTTTATGTTGTCATTTTGCAGTTCAAATGCTGCAAAGCAGCAAAACACTTTGGGGTCTATTCACAAAGCTGCCGAAGGATCTGGCCGTAGCTTCGGCCCCAGGACCCCTTCGGTTCAGGAGAACCGAGGGGGTGCTGTAAATGAGACAATGTACAGTATAAGGGAACATGCACATGGGCACTTGTTCCCACATAAAAAATAGAAAAAAAAACACATAAAGCCGCAAGTGTACTTCTATTGACAGCTAAGAGTGTGATGCACGCATGCATTTATGTGGTGATGTACACCAATCAGCCATAGCATTATGACCACTGAGAGGTGAAGTGAATAACATTGGTTATCTCCTTACAATGGCACATGGAAGTGGGTGGGATATATTAGGCAGCAAATTACCATTTTGTCCCTGAAGTTGTCTTGAAAGCAGAAAAAATGAGCAAGTATAAGCATTTAAGCAACTTTGACAAGGGCCAAATTGTAATTGCTAGACGACTGGGTCAGAGCAACTCCAAAACGGCAACTCTTGTGGAATGTTTCCGGTCTGTAGTGGTCAGGTTTTACCAAAAGTGGTCCAAGGAAGGAAAACTGGTGAACAGGGTTATGGACGGCTAAGGCTCATTGATGCACCTGGGGAGTGAAGGCTAGCCCTTGCAGTCCCATCTAATAGAAGAGCTACTGTAGCTCAAATTGCTGAAAAAGTTAATGCTGGTTCCCATAGAAAGGTGTCTGAACACACAGAGCATTGCAGTTTGTAGTCTATAGGGCTGCATAGCTGTAGACTGGTCAGGGTGCCCTTGCTGACCCATGTCCACTGCTAAAAGCACCTACAATGGGCATGTGAGCATGAGAACTCAACCACAAAGCCAGAGGCGGCTCTAGAGTTTGCGATGCCTTAGGCAAAACCTAAACATGAGGCCCCACTCAGGCCTGTGGGGTCTTACCAGGGCTCTGTTTGGTTTAACCAGGCTGGTGAGACCCCGAAGAGCCCTGGTGAGACCCCGCAGAGCCCTGGTTAAACTAGGGCTCTGTGGGGGTCTCAGCAGGGCTCTGTGGGGTCTCACCAGTCTTGGTGAAACCCCACAGAGTCGTGGGAAGACCCTACAAACCCCTGATTTAATCAGGGCTCTGTGGGATCTCACTAGGGCTCTGTGGGGTCTCGCCAGGGTTCTGTGGGGTCTAACCAGCTTGGTTAGAGCCCACAGAGCCCTGGTGAAATCCCAAAGAGCCCACCAGGGTAGGGTCCCAACATGGCTCTGTGGGGTTAAACCATGGCTGGTGAAACCCCACAGAGCCCAGGTGAGACCCCACACAGGCCCGGTTAAACCAGGGCTCTGTAGGGTCTCATCACCAGCCTGGTTAGACCCCTCAGAGCCCTGGTGAGACCCTAAAGAGCCCTAGTGAGACCTCAAGAAGCACTGGTAAAACCAGTGCTCCGCAGGGTCTTACTAGGACTCTGTAGGGTGCCACCAGCACCAGGGCTCTGTAAAGCTCTCTAGGGTCTCACCAGGGCTCTTTGGGGTCTCACTAGAGCATCAGGGCTCTGTGGAGCCTCACCAGGGCTCTTTGGGGTCTCACTAGAGCATCAGGGCTCTGTGGAGCCTCACCAGGGCTCTGTGTGGTCTCACCAATGCCCTGGTGAGACCCCTTTAGTGCCCTGATGAGACCCACTTAGTGCCCTGATGAGACCTCCTTAGTGCCCTGATGAGAGTACCAAGTTCGCACATCACTGAGCTTGGTCACAGAATCGTCGCTGTTTTAGGTCAAAAGCGGTTTTAGACCAGGTTGAAAATAGCGATAGTAAATTAGAACTACTTGCAGAATTACGGTTACTGCTCCTGGTATGGAAAATTAACCCCGAGCCATACTCGGGAATACCGCCAGGGAGGTTAAGCAAGATAATGCACCCTGCCACACTGCAAAAATGGTTTTAAGAATGGTGTGAGGAACACAACAAGTTTGAGTTGTTGACTTGCCATCCAAATTTTCCAGATCTAAATCCAATCGAGCATCTGTGGGATGTACTGGAAAAACAAGTCCGATCCATGGAGGCCCCACCTCACAATTTACAGGAC